CCATTAATTAACAGCTCTCAACACGTGTGAATTCAGACCGACTGAGGAGGAAGAGCAGAGGGAGGCTCGGAGCACCCAGCTGCTGACAGGGACACATCTGGACTAACCAACATCTGTCTCTGTGTCGCTGCTGGTCGGTGCTACAGCTCACACCGTCAGACTGCAGCCACCTGCTGACGCACACGACCAACCAGGTTGATGGACGCAGGGCAGCAGGACCCTCAGCAGCTGGAAAGTAGCCCGAAGATCCAGCAGTTTGCTGTCCGTCCGTCCGTCCATCCATCCATCCATCCATCCATCCATCCATCATTTGTTCTGGACTCAGGACTTGGGAGCAGCAGCTTGAGCAGGGAGGTCCAGATCTCTTCCAGCTCTTCTGGAAGGCCTCCAAGGTGTTCCCAGAGCAGCTGAGAGACATTGTCTCTCCAGAGTGTCCTGAGTCTTTCCAGGGGTCTCCTCCCATTCCTGCAGGGCCTCCCTAGGGAGGCGTCCAGGGTTCATCCTCATCAGATGTCTGAACCACGTCACCTGGCTCCTCTGGATGTGGAGGAGCATTGGTTGTGCTCCGAGTCTCTCCAGGAGAACTGAACTTCTCACCCGATCTCCAAGGAGAGTCCAGCTACCCTGCAGAGAGAACTCATTTGGACCTCCTGGGTCCAGGATCTGGTTCTTTCAGTCAGTACCTAGCTCATGACCACATGTGAGGGTAGGAATGCAGAGTGACCGGTAAACAGGGAGCTTCTTCTTGCAGCTCAGCTGCCTCTTCACCACAACAGACCAATACAGGATCCACAATACTGCAGAAGCTGCACTGATCCATCTGTAGATCTCTTGCTCCATTCTTCTCTCATTGTGAACTAAACCCTGAGATACTTGAAATCCTCCACTTGAGGCAGAACCTCAGTCCCAACCTACCGGAGGACCGTCGTCTCCTCATGATGCGTTAAACAGGTTTTAATGAAACATTTACAGTGTTTCCCCTACCGTTTTACAAGCAGGGCACCCCGCCCCGTCAACAGAACCAAGTGCCCTGCCTACCGAACTGAACTGCAACCCCCCCCCCCCTCCCCCATCAGCAATGACATAGCACTAAGCTAGCAGCCCACAATGCAGCCCTGCTAGCTAAAAAGCTAAAGGCAGCGCTCATGCTGTCTCTTCCTTCATTCTGAACCCTGACGCTGAACTCACCCCGCTCGAAAACTGTCAGTACAAACAGCACCCAGCTAAGACCCCCAACAAAAATCACGAACGAGATGAGCGTCCCGCCGTGGCAAGTATCTAGGGGAAACACTGGTTTAGGAAGGAATCATCGGTTGAACATCTTCACAGTTGGAGCTTAGGGGTTCCCAACTCTGGTCCTTGAGGAACACCATCCTGCATGCTTTAGTTGTTTCTCTGCTCCGACACACCTGATTTTATTTAATTCATGGGTAATTAACAGGCTTCTGCAGAGCACGAGGCAGTAATTAAATTACTGTATCAGGTGTGTTGGAGCAGAGAAACAACTAAAACATGCAGGGTGGTGTTCCTCAAGGACCAGGGTTGGGAACCACTGAGTTAGACCATCATCAGCAAACAGAAAAACGGCCATAACTCATCTTTACAGACGATGAGCTAATGTTTGTTTTGGTAGTAGCTGAGAGTCATTCCCAACACGTTCCTGTTGGTTTTCTTGTTTGGTTTTCTTCCTCTCTGCTCCTCGTTTCCTGATCTTCTCACCTGCTCAGACTTGTGTCTGAATCACCTCCTGAAGTCGTAGCTTTTGGTGTTTTGGACGTTTCCTACTGTAGCGGCACATTTTGTTTGTTTACTCTCGTTACTCAGAAGCCTCTTCCTTCCAGCAGCAGTTTTTGATCAAACATCACATGACCGGAAGTTAGAAAGAAATTCTGAAACTGAGCAAATTTAACAGAAAATTCATTTAGTTGGTATTTTTAATTAATGTTTTAAAGTTGATAAAAAAAAATCTGACTACAACGCTTCACCTTTGACCTTCATCGGTCACCTTCGTAGTGAAAATTTCTTTAAAAAAAGACATAAACGTCTCTAACTCAGCCAACTGGATAGATAAAGAGCTAAAATTTGATGTGGTAGTAGCTGAGCGTGACCCACAACGCTCTGAGTGATTACAGCTTATGTGAGATGTGTCATGAGATTGTTTATAAAGTTTTCGTACGCCCGTCGATGTTGGAGGTCTTATGGTCCAGTCTCCATCAGTAAACTTTCAGAACTTCTGATCGGCTCAAGATAATTTACTGACACATCACCACTAGACAGAGTGTTGCAAACACTTTTCACCACCCCAGCTCCAAGGTCAAGGTCACAAATCAAGGTCAATATTTTACTTGTTTCTTTGCTTGTCCGAGCTATAGATCGCTGTTTGAGGGTTTGTCGACAAGCGTATGAAGCTCCATGTGCTGCGCACTTGTTTTCCAACGGGGCTATGGCGGCGGGTGATATGCATCCCTGACTCCTCTCATCCAACGATGTTGGCCAGCCTGGTGTTCCCACGCCCACAGATTGTTAGATAAAAGAGTGGAAATGTTCCTTTAACGCTTCAGAGGGGGATACGTTTGAAGCTCGGATGTTTTTAAACGATCACAGAAGAAGAGCGTCAGGGAGGGTTCTGCTGAATGTGTGGAAATCCTTCGGCAGCTGCTGCTCCAACACACCCACCGACACCAGGAGCACGATGCTGCCACGTCGCCACGGCAACCGCTTCTCACAGCTGTTCCCATGGCGCCGGAGCCTCTTATTGGCAGGGCAGATGGCTCCTCGGAGTCAGAGGTCACAGGTGTGGCTTTTTGTGTGTGTGTGCGTTTCTGAAATCAGCTGAGAGTTTGTTTTTCTGCCAAACATGGTTAAAATTTTCAAGCATATTTATCAGAAAATACAGATGAAAGTGATTCATCTTTTATAAAAGGCTCAGAGTTGGAGGCTCAGATTATTAATCTGAAGCTCAGGACAGACGTGACGGCAGAAACAGTCCTGCTTATCGCCCGCTCACAGACAAGGCGGGCAATCATGTAGCTGCCTGTTTCTGTGTGTGCTCGTGTGTCTGTTAGTAAATTATCTCATCACCCAGTGGGCGGAGTTTAATCAAACTCTCAGGAAGTGAAGGAGTTTGTCTGCAACTGATTCAAAATGGCCGCCACAGCTGATTGAGTTTAGCTAACACAAACTCAGCTTTTTTTCACCGATATCAGCTCAAATCTGGAGTGGTAGTAGCTGAGAGTCATCCAGAATCTGTTCCAGTCGTTTTAAACCGGACTTCTGTGTGAAAACCTTTTATTTTGACGGTCCGGCTCGTTCTGATTGGTCGGGATGAGTCCCGCCTCCTCCCAGTTGCGCATGAAGGCAGTCTGCTCCTGCAGACGGTCCGAACTCTCCTCCGAGCAGAACCTGACGGAGCGACGTTCCTCTGACGTCCACATGAGAACTCTGGACGGGTAATGGAGGAGGACGGTTCTCCGTCCCGCAGGAAGCTGCTGCCGGATCAGGGGTCGTGTTTTCATTCTGTCTCTGTTGAAGCTCAGATCTTCAGAGACCTGTCTGCGTTTAACAGAACCAGGTAAACCAGAACCTGTGAGGAGGTCCTGGTGTTGGAAGCTGAAGACGTCTCTGGTTCCCTCTCAGTCCAGGTCTGCGTCTCTCGGATACAGACCTGGACTCTTGGCTTATCTTAATCTAAAGGTTTTTGATGTTTTTAATCCAAGATGTTTAATTTAAACTGCCTTAAGTTTCATTGATAAAATGCTGATTTTATTTAACTTATTAAAAATGGTGTTTTCTTTTCAAAGAAGAATACTGGGGGCCAGATGGAAATCGTCCAGTGACCCAGTTTGGCCCTCGGGCCACATGTTGCCTGACCTTTCATCGTGACTTTCTGTTTCTGTCATTTGTTTATTCAAACATATTTATGCAGAGGTTCCTCCACTGTGACTTCAGATTTGTTTTTAAGAGAAAAGATCATTAAAGTGCTAAAGGGATAATCTGGACATTTTGAAGTGGAGTTCGGTTAGAATGTTATAAACTTCATGTTTTCTATTCAGTGTTTAGTTTTTTTCAGTTTGAAGGTTTATTTTAATTTCTTATAAAGTTTAGTTTCTGTGCTTTCTCTGAGCTGTCAGTTCATTTCCCCTCGGTCCGTTCCTCTGCTCCTTCAGCCCCGCCCACTCTCACCTGTGCTCTGTTGTCATTACAACAGGTGTGTTGCTGTGCTGCCTCGTGTTCAGTCTGCACTCCTCGGTTCAACCTCTGAAAACCGTGATAATTTTAGGGTTGTCTCTGCAAACACAGACGGCAGCAGCAGTTAGCTGTAGCACTTCCACGGCAGACTGGAGCAGGAACTTCACAACGTTTCTGTAAAAATAACCGCTTATTAATTTAACGTCAGCGTAAAAGTTAAAATTTTAGAGTTGGCTCTAAAACTTGAAACACTTCAAGATGGAAACATTTCTTTTGAAGTGGAAACACTCGAAGTAGCCGTCGTTAGCTCGTGAGTCCGGTCTGAGTGGACCCGCTTTGTGTCAAAACAACTCCAGTTTTTACAAAGATTCTTACAATAGTTCTTCAAACGTTGACGCCTCCGTCAGGTCTGCAGTAGATGTTTCCTCCTGTAGACACTTGATGATAATCCTGCCAGGCTGCTCTGGAAATGCTACAGCTAGCTGCTAGCTACCTACCATAAGTTGTGTCTGCTAAGAACTACATGGTTCTATGTAAATAACAAAAACATTAAAGTAGTGCTGAAATGAACCAAGATGGAGGCTAGGTTCCTTTTAAGACGGCTCGGCTCAGACTAGCCGTTAGCTCATCAGTTTGGTCAGAATTAAACTTATTTAACCAAACTGAGGTTGTTCAAAGAGCTTTCTACAGCAGGTAAGATATTCACTGTGAATAATATCTCCATTGAACCCCACTTGAGACTGTCCAAACTCCCCCCTGTAAAGCTTTCAGAACCAGACTGACCCCCCCCCCCCCCCATCTCTCCCCTCCAGGACGCTGCACAAGCAGTTCGAGAGCTACAAACAGGAAGTGCGTCGCATCGGGGTGGAGACGCGGCACCAGCAGACGCAGCAGAAGGATGACGCCCCCACCTGCGGCATCTGCCGCAAGACCAAGTTTGCCGACGGCTGCGGCCACCTCTGCTCCTACTGCCAGACCAAGTTCTGCGCCCGCTGCGGGGGCCGGGTGTCCCTGCGCTCCAACAATGTGAGACCCTTTGACCTCTGACCCCCGCCGCCGTGCTGTTCATGCTTGTGCTCTTTGTTTTGTTTTGCTCGCCGTGTTCTGGAGGAACGACTCGGCTCAGATCTTCTTTCCTTCAGTCAGTTTGCTGCTTTAGTGCTGGAGACGTAAAGATGCTGGGTCTGTGTGGTTCTGTCTGCTGGGTCAGAACTGGTTCTGTTGGACAGGGACCAAAGGACGGGCTCAGGAAGCATTTTACAAACTGGTGAAGTGTTTTGTTTTTGCTGCTTCTTGCAAATCGATGCTTCCAGTGCTGATCACTGGTCTGAATGTGGACACAGTTCTGTCCATATCGGACCGATCCTCAGAACTGAAGCCAGAGTCTCACCTGTTGGACCGGGTGGATTTTCTGTTGCAGCTTCGCTGAACTCGGAGCGCTTGTGACCTTCGTACCCGGCTCAGTGGTCGCTCTTATGATTTAATCTGCAGAAAAAAACAAGGTCATAAATCAAGGTCAGCATTAAAACTGGGTCGTCTGGGACAGAACTTCTGTTCCGCTCAAGATGATTTAAGGAACCTTCACACATGTACGCATCATCACTACACAGAGTGTCTCGTACTCTTTTGATCGCTCCAGATCCAAGGTCAAGGTCACGAATCAACGTAGTTCATAACGTTTGTACTGCAACTTTTCATCTTCAAGCCGTTTCTTGTAGACGTCAGAGCAGCAGTGTCACTCCTCCTCTATCTCACTCTGTCCTCTACATCCTCTGTCCTCACTTTGTCTTCTGTGTCCTCTGTTCCTCACTCCAACTACCTCCATGTCCTCTCTAACTGTGTCTGTATATCTCCTCTTTGTCTTTTTCCTGGCAGCTGCATTTCTAACATCCTTCTACCAATATACCCACTGTCCCTCCTCTGGGCATGTCCAAACCACTGTCCCTCCTCTGGACATGTCCAAACCATCTATGTCTGGTCTCTAACTTTATCTCCCAGTTGTTCAACCTGTGCTGTACCTCTGATGATCTCATTCTTAATCTTCTCCATCCTTGTCACTCCTAAGAAGAACCTCAGCATCTTCAATTCTGACACTTCCAGTTCTGTCTCCTGTCTCTTTGTCCATGTCTCTGTCTCCAGACTTTACAATATAGCTGGTTTCACCACTGTCTTGTAAACTTTTCCTTTGACCTTTGCTGACACCCCTTTGTCGCAAATCACGCCTGAAACTTTTCTCCATCCACTCCACCCTGCCTGGATTCTCTTCTTCACTTCTTTACCACACTCCACATTTTCCTGGACAGTCCTGCACCTTTGTGACCTCTGCTCCTTGTAGCCTCACTGTTCTCCGGCCTCCCTCTCATTCACACACATGTACTCTGTCTTACTGCGGCTGACTTTCAAGTGCATAACTCCACCTCTCCAAGTTCTCTTCCTCTTGCTCCTTGTTCTCACCACAGATCACGTCATCTGCAAACATCATAGTCCACAGGGATTCCTGCCTGACTTCATCATCTGTTAGTCGGTCCATCACCAGAACAATCAAAAAGGGGCTCAGAACTGATCCTGGATGCACTCCCACCTCCACCTTGAAGCTATCTGTCACTCCTACAGCACATCTCACTGCTGTCCTGCTGTCCGCATACATGTCCTGTACCAGTCTAACATACTTCTCCACCACTCCAGATTTCCTCGTGCAATACCACACCTCTTCCCTCGGCACTCTGTCAGATGCTTTTTCTAAATCCACAAAGACACAATGGAGTTCTTTCTGACCTTCTCTGTACTTCTCCATCAGCATCCTCAAAACAAAGATGGCATCTGTGGTGCTCTTTCTTGGCATGAAACCATACTGCTGCTCACAGTCACCTCTCGTCTAAGTCTAGCTTCCACAACTCTCTCCCAGATCTTCATCGTGAGGCTCATCAACTTAATTCCCCTGTAGTTGCTACAACTCTGTACATCACCCTTGTTCTTAAAAATGGGCACCAGCACACTTCTTCTCTATTCCTCAGGCAATTTCTCACCCTCAAATATGCCATTGAATATCCGAGTCAAAAACCTCACCGTCATTTCTCCTAGACAATTCTAATCCTCCACTGGTATGTCATCAGGTCCTACTGCCTTCCCCTTCATTCTTTTCAGAGCTTTCCAGACTTCACCATCACTAATCTTTCCCACTTCCTGGTCCACAATTTCTATGACCTCTACTTTTCTTTCTTTTTCATTCTCTTCATTCATTAGCTCCTCAAAGAACTCCTTCTGTTTTCCCGTCACACTCTCCTCACTTGTTATAACTTTAACATTTCTATCTTTAACAAGCCTAACCTGCTGCACATCCTTTCCAGCCTGATCCCTCTATCTTGCCAATCGGTACAAGTCCTTCTCACCCTCTTTAGTGTCCAGTCTCCCATACAACTCATCATACACCTTCTGCTTTGCTTTAGCTACGTATATGTATATTGTACGTATACGTATATTAGCTATGTATATCAGCTCTAGAGCTAACAGCGCTAGCTCTGGAGCTAACATCATATAAATCTACATTAGCTCCTGACATAATGTCGTATCTACGTATTAGCTCTGGAGCAAACACCTTAAAAAGCTGAGCCATTTCTCAGCTCTCCTCTCTGTCAACTCGCTCTGGTTCAAATTAAAGGCTGAACGTCAGATGATGTCCAAAATTAACATTCAAGCTCACATCGAAGCAACCTGTCTTTTACCCAGAAAGCATTGCAGTGTAAATAAAATAGCAACGTCCGTTTTGTTGTAAATTTTTTGAAAATTAGATAAACTAAACAGTGCACCATATTTTTACGGTCTCATTTATAAAGCTTACAACACAGATGGCGTTTATTTCCAATTCCGCTCTTCTTTTCACAACGGGGGACAATAAAAGAAACTGGACCAAATCTGCCTGGCTTTGTTTCTGAAGTGTACTCCTTCAGAATAAATCAAAAATAAAACTGTTCTGAGGGCAGTACTGTTGGTTTTTAGAGGGGGGGGGGGGGCAGGAAATGTGTGTATTTGAAGACGTGGACACAACGTCACTGAAAGTTGGGAAGCGTGTGAGTTCTGTTCGGTTCAGATCTACTCGTGGGATTTGTATAGAAAATCAAACGCCACGACCCGTGTTTCACCGTCCGTTGGGTCCAGATCGGACCAGTTTGACGTTCAGTTTTCTCCCAAACCTTGGTTCTATTTTAAGTCCTTCATCTGAAGCCGTTTCTGGGCTTCGCTCCAGCCCGAGAGAGAAGCGCTCCATCTGCTTTACTTCACCTGACTCCACCCAGAACCTGCTGAGGCCCGATCTGTTCTGCATCCGCCCGTCCCAGCTGGGAGCGGACTCTCACCCAGACCGCAGGAACCGACACCCGGCTGGTAGACTCATTCAACAGCAGACGGGCTGCTGCGTGAACGCAGTTGATCTAAAAATAAAACAAAAACACGAACGAGCCGTTTGAAGGGAAGTGATGCTCAGACTAACCTCAGCTGAGATTAGAAATTAATGAACTAATAATGGGAGCAGTTAATATCTAAACCCACTCGTGTTTCATCCAGGACGGGTTTTATAGCTGCATTATCTGATGTTAGATTTAAGGCTGGATCAGAACCAGAGGTGACCTGAAGAGACAGACCCCACGGCGCCAGGATTGGTCCTCTGTCTTCATCTGTGGTGCTGCAGAACCCAGATTCAGTCCAGAACAGGATATAATGAAAACCAGAACATTTAGGTTCCCACTGCTGGTCTGGATGTGGACCGAAGCACAGCCAAATTGGATTGTCCCTTCTATCGGCAGAAGCCAGTACGTCACAGAGCTGCAGCTGACCTGTTGTTCACTCCAATTTGAATAAAAAAAGGTTGTTTTTTTTTAACTTTATTTTCACTGAATTCAGAATATTTGCAACCGACTACTCACGTGGTTCGGTTTTTCTAAATTCACGTGTATTCTTCAGCTGCGTTGAGCCCAGCTCAGCAGCCGTCAACATGTTTATGATCTAATGTTCTGGGGTACGATTCAGAAATGAAAACAAGGAGATTTGGACCATCTCCATCATCTGCCACTTGTCAGAGGTCGGTCATGGAGGCAGCAGGTCCAGGAGAGAAACCCAGACCTCACTCTCCTCAGAGACTCTCTCCAGCTCCTCCTGATCAGATGAACCACCTCAGCTGACTCCTCTTGAGGCAGAGGAGCAGCTCCCACTGGGTGATGGAGCTCCTCCCCCTTCCTCTCAGGCTGAGTGCCCCCACCTCCAAGGATGCCCTTTTCAGCCTCTTGGATCCAGGATCGGGTTCTTTTGGTCCTGATCAAAACTTCATGACCACAGGTGAGGGTTGAAATGTAGACAGACCAGTAGATCCAGAGCTTTGCTTTTAGACTCAGCTCTTTCTTCACCACGATCGACCGAAGCAACGCCCTCATTACTAAGGATGAGGCTCTGCTCCATCCCAGCAGTGTCACTCAGGAACAAGAAGGCCAGATACCTGAACTCCTCCACCCGAGGCAAATTGGACGAGTTTGTGTAAGAAAAGTTAATATTATTATTTTTTTATTAGTGACATGTCTTTTTAGACCAGTGTTTTACTGGTGTTTTACCAGAGTTTTACTTGTGTTTTATTAGATTTACTGGTGTTTTACCAGTGGTTTACCAGAGTTTTACTGGTGCTTTACCAGTGCTGTATCGGTGTTTTACTGGTGCTTTAACAGAGTTTTACCAGTATTTTACTGGTGTTTTACCTGTGTTTTACTGGTTTTTACCAGTGTCATACCAGTATTTTACCGGTACTTTACCAGCGTTTACCAATGTTTTACTGGTGTTTTACCAGTGCCATATCAGTGTTTTACCAGTGTTTTACTGGTGTTTTATCAGTGTTTAACCTGTGCTTTACTGGTGTTTTACCATTACTGTACCAGTGTTTTACTGGTGTTTTACCAATGTTTTCCTGCATTTTACTGGTGTTTCACCAGTGTTTCACCAGTGTTTTACATGTGTTTTACCAGTGTTTCTCCAGTGTTTTACCAGTG